GATATACTCCTTGAGATTATGCACACATCAACAGATTTGGTGCTTGTATTATGGTTTACTGGGAAGTTATGTCCCCAAATGCATCAAATGCTCTGATAACGCTTCACAGAGCATCTCTGTATCACAGGAGGCGAGCTGGATTCTTTTACATGATGTGCCAAAGCAAAGAAATGGAATAGAACTTTGGGTAAGAAACGTGGGTAAACTTTGGTCTCTAAATAATTCTGAACAACTAATCTTAAATCATGTAATTTTGATCATTTGTACTCGGTGGCATTCCAATGCCTAAAATGGTTATGTTTGGCTATGGATTTTTATTTATGCTTTGTAAACTTTATCTGAGACCTTGTGGGTCTGAGAATTCCTCCCTCCTCCTCCTCCCCTCTTTTATGACTCTTCTCTGCAGAAAATGACTGAAACAGTTTTGTCTTGGCCAATGCACAAATGTGGGAACCATCCCCTGTGGTTCCCTCTCTGTTACAGACTCCTCACAGGATGAGTGTCTATACATTGTTATATTTTTGTTTCATCTCCTGTGAAAATTCTATTCTGCCCGAGCTGTTTAGGGATTAACTGGTTACTGTGTACCTCGTGCCTTGAAATGATAAAGGAGTTGCTTGAGCCCTAATCATGTGGTGTGTATTGAACCACTGCTGTCTCTAATTTAATTGAAGACTTAGCTGCTGTTATTAACTCTGCAGACAACCAGCTCCCTGCTGCGTGGTGATAACACATCCCGAAGGGCACGGATGATGTCAACTGTTGGTGGTTTTCAGAGAGTTTAATGCAGTGGTGGGGCTGCAGGGCTGTATCCACAAGGATGGGCTGGCAGAGGTGGGCTCCCCATCCACCCACCCAGAAGAGTAATGACACCTGGCAGCCAGAGTGCAAGCACGGATGTCACAGTGTGGTTTCAGCCAGTATGTACCAGTATGAAAGCAGTGGAGCTGTGCATCTCCGTGCCATACGTCAATTTCTACCCCTCACTAATAAAGACGTGGTGCTGTTCAGAAGAACCAAGCCTGTCATCCAGTAGCAACGTCTCAAATCAAGTTTGCTTAAATCATAGAATCGTCTAGGTTGGAAGAGACCCTTGGGATCATCGAGTCCAACCATCTCCCCTACTCTACAAAGTCCTCCCCTACACCATATCCCTCAGTACCCCATCTAAACATCCCTTAAACACATCCAGGGACGGTGACTCCACCCCCTCCCTGGGCAGCCTGTTCCAATGCCCGACCACTCTTTCTGTGAAAAATTCCTTCCTGATGTTCAGTCTAAACCCACCCTGTTGGAGCTTGAAGCCATTCCCTCTCATTCTGTCACTAATTACCTGTGAGAAGAGACCAGCACCAACCTCTCTACAGTGTCCTTTCAAGTAGTTGTAGAGAGTGATGATACAAGACACGTGAGACTCAGACATTACAGGTGCAAAATGGGGAGGTTCCCTCTGAATTCAGAGTGAACAAGTGGCAGGAAACAATCTTTTGCTCAAGATTCAAAGTCTCCCTTACATCTGCCACCAAGAACCAGCATGAGTGGTTCATGAAAATAAAGGGTTACTCTGTCCTAAAGCCTCTGCACAGCAGAGGTACTTGTAGCACTGGAAACAACACTCTGGGCTGTGATACCGGACTGTGGCTGCCACAATGTAATTTGTGATACCATTTGATGTTTCTGCCGCTCGAACCATATTGCCTTCCCACCAAGAAGTGGAGAAACCCTCTGCTAAAATCCTTACAGGTCTACTGGTACTCCCTGTGAAAAGTGCTGGAGTGGAGAAACCCTCTGCTAAAATCCTAAAATCCATACAGGTCTACTGGTGCTCCCTGTGAAAATTGCTGGTATTTTTGTAGCACTGGAAACAACTCTCTGGGCTGTGATACCTGACAGTGGCTGCCACAATGTAATTTGTGATATCATTTGATGTTTCTGTCACTCTAACCATATTGCCTTCCCACCAAGAAGTGGAGAAACCCTCTGCTAAAATCCATCAGGTCTACTGGTACTCCCTGTGAAAAAGCTGGAGTGGAGAAACCCTCTGCTAAAATCCATACAGGTCTACTGGTACTCCCTGTGAAAAATGCTGGAGTGGAGAAACCCTCTGCTAAAATCCATCAGGTCTACTGGTGCTCCCTGTGAAAAGTGCCGGAGTGGAGAAACCCTCTGCTAAAATCCTAAAATCCATACAGGTCTACTGGTGCTCCCTGTGAAAATTGCTGGTATTGCTGGTGTGGTACCCACGGGTCAGGATAACACCAGTGAAACCTACAAGTAACCTACTACCATTATGGCAAATGCCCCAGATTTCTTAGTCTAGGCTGACTGAACTCTTGCCGCGCAACGAGTAACGTGAAGTCCAATTTTTCCAGCTTCAGCCAAAGTAGTGCCAAGAGGCCTCCGCCGGGCACATCCTAAACCCTCCCCTTTGCACAGATTTGGGGGTGAAACCTCACCTCGCATTCCTTCGAGGCTTGATTCATCAAGTTCACAATTGAAGTGAACGCTGCGCTGAGACGTTCCGAGTCTTCTTCCTGCAAGTAAAGACATATTTTTTTGTTTGTTTTGTAACTCTTAAGGCGGCGCTTGTTGCTTGGAGGTAGAGAGTGCCAGGGTGATTTGATAGCAAAACACTGGCTGGGGGCTGTCTGGGGGGTGACACCACAACACCTGGCCCGTCGCTGTGGTGCTGAGGCGTGACACTGTGTGTGCCAGGCAACACCGAGGCACCCGCTGCACCCAACCGGAGACACGGCCCCGTACCCCCTCCCGCAGAGCACCGGGGATTTGTCGGTCCCTGCCCATCACCGTTGCACCCTGGCTTTGACCAGATGAGGCACGGGGGGTGTAATGTCTCTAGCTCATTACAGCACATATATGGCTCACTCCCATGCATATAGAATCATAGAATGGTTTGAGTTGGAAGGGACCTTTTTTTGTTTGTTTTGTAACTCATAAGGCGGCGCTTGTTGCTTGGAAGTAGAAGGTGTCAGGGTGATTCGATAACAAAACACTGGCTGGGGGCTGTCTGGGGGGTGACACCACAACACCTGGCCCGTCGCTGTGGTGCTGAGGCGTGACACTGTGTGTGCCAGGCAACACCGAGGCACCCGCTGTGCCCAACCGGAGACATGGCCCCCGTACCCCCTTCCGCAGAGCACCAGGGATTTGTCGGTCCCTGCCCACCACCGTTGCACCCTGGCTTTGACCAGATGAGACATGGGGGGTGTAATGTCTCTAGCTCATTACAGCACGTATATGGCTCACTCCCACGCATATAGAGTCATAGAATGGTTCGGGTTGGGAGGGACCTCAAAGATCATCGAGTTCCAACCCCCCTGCCCTGGGCAGGGACACCTCCCACCAGACCAGGTGACACCACAACACCTGGCCCGTCGCTGTGGTGCTGAGGCGTGACACTGTGTGTGCCAGGCAACACCGAGGCACCCGCTGTGCCCAACCGGAGACATGGCCCCCGTACCCCCTTCCGCAGAGCACCAGGGATTTGTCGGTCCCTGCCCACCACCGTTGCACCCTGGCTTTGACCAGATGAGACATGGGGGGTGTAATGTCTCTAGCTCATTACAGCACGTATATGGCTCACTCCCACGCATATAGAGTCATAGAATGGTTCGGGTTGGGAGGGACCTCAAAGATCATCGAGTTCCAACCCCCCTGCCCTGGGCAGGGACACCTCCCACCAGACCAGGTTGCTCAAGGCCCCATCCAGCCTGGCCTTGAACCCCTCCAGGGATGGGGCATCCACAACTTCCCTGGGCAACCTGTTCCAGTGTCTCACCACCCTCAGAGTAAAAAATTTCTTCCTGAGATCTAATCTGAATCTTTTTTCTTCCAATTTAAAACCGTTTCCCCTTGTCCTATCATTACACCTCCTGGCAAAGAGTCCCTCCCCAGCTCTTCTATAGGCACCCTTCAGGTATTGAAAGGCCGCTATAAGGTCTCCCCGGAGCCTTCTCTTCTCCAGGCTGAACAACCCCAGCTCCCTCAGCCTGTCTCCATAGCAGAGGTGCTCCATCCCTCTGATCATCTTCGTGGCCCTCCTCTGGACCTGTTCCAGCCGGTCCATGTCCTTTCTGTGTTGAGGACTCCAAAGCTGGACACAGAGCTCCAGGTGGGGTCTCAGGAGTACAGAGGAGAGGGGCAGAATCCCCTCCCTGGCCCTGCTGGCCACACTTATCCTGATGCAGCCCAGGACAGGGTTGGCTCTCTGGGCTGCCATGTTGAGCTTCTCCTCCATAAGCACTCCCAAGTCCTTCTCCTCAGGGCTGCTCTCCAGCCATTCTCCACCCAACCTGTATTTGTGCCTGGGGTTATATATCTATAGATCTATATCTATATGGACACTAGGCCTCTATGGGACACCCATCACCCTGCCGCCGCTTGAGGACGCAGCTCCTCGGTGCTTCTTATCCGTTTCGTTCCATTTCTGCCGCCACGGCCGCCCCCTTCCCGTACCGCCCCGCCCGCGGGACCGAGATCGGGACCGAGATCGGGACCGAGGGCGGGAGCCACCCCGCCGCCCCCCGCAAGCATTGACCGGGGCCGAGGGCGGGAGCAACCCTCAGCACCGTCCGGGTGCGGGAGCCACCCCGCCGCCCCGACCGGGTGCGGGAGCCGCCCCGCCGCCCCCCGCAGCACTGACCGGGGCCGAGGAGAAGGAGGAGGAGGAGGTGGGGGCCCGTCCCGCTGCCGCCGCCT